CAGCACAGCACCCCAGCCTCTCTCCAGACCCTCTTGCTCTACTCTCCAACTCCCTTTCTCTTGGGTTCTTCCATTTTGTAAGGAGACTCACCTTGGAGTTTTACAAACCTCTCTGGGGGCAAGGATAGTCCGTTCCCCCAAAATACTGGAGTTTCTGGAATCCAGAAAGAAGCACATTAGTGGCTGGCTGCAAAACAAGCAGCTAGAACTGGGTTCTATGTGTGTGTGTGTGTGTGTGGGGGGTGTCTAATTAATAAAAGTCAATCATAGGATTAAAGCCAGTAGCCAGCCAAGCAGAGTAGAGACAGCTTCCCAGCCCGGCTTTATGAATTAGCAGCAATGAATATATTTTCTGCTAATATCCTGTAGGACTCTCAGCGACTTGTTCCCTGTGAAAGCGAATGGAGATGGAGCTCAGGAACACTTACATGCACCCAGGGCATTTTGTGCTAATAACAAGAGGCTGCAAATTCATTTAAGAAAATGTTCATAAACAAGTGGCAGGCACTCTGAGTCCACCCTGGTGGAAACAATGGTGAAACTGACAAGTGTTCTTTGCTTTGGGGAGGGGCACTTTTATCCAAGGAAATGCTTTAAAAAACCATGGGGAAAGACAAGGTTTTTTTTTAAAAAAAGAAAGAAAAAAGAAAAAAATTATTTCAAACTCCAGGCAACAGCAGATGCAGCAGCCCTTGCAAACACATCAGCCCCACACATATTGAAGATTTGGACACGTAGTGCTTCAGACCACTGATTTGCTATTTTCTTAATTCCCACTCTTCTTTTTCCATATGAATCAAACAGTCTTTTGTCCTTCAGGGTTTGATTTGATCGCTACTGTTCACATTTCACTTTTGTATTTTCCTGTTCCTATACCATTACTCATTGAGTGCCCTGTGAAATTACAATCGTACATTTTCAACTCAGCAACCCATTTGCAGTGCAAAAATAGGGTCTAAATAATGGCTGAATTAGCCCTACTGGACAGTTTCAGATGTAACACTCTGTAATAATTATATTGCAGGCTGGATTAGGATGCTATTATCATAATCTGGACGTTTACAATTATCTGTAATTTGCAAAGATGCGCCAGGTCTTGATTACAGCAGTTTTTTTTTTTTTGTATCACGCTAACCATCACTAAACAGTGACAGTAATAACAGCTAATTTTGCTGGCAATATAAGAGGTGCTGGGGTGTGCAAACAATTTCACACCTGGATGTGCTCACTCAACCAAGAATATAGAGAAAGAGCTTCTGCCCTGAGACTCAGAAAAATATTCCTCTCTGCTTCTGTTCAGTATAGATTTCTAGACCTGATCATTGCTTAAGAGATATTCACTGGGGGTAAGTTTTTATTTCTTTCATACTTCAAGGCACAGTTCATACTTATCTTCTCACACTTTCCGAGGTGTATGTGTTGCTGTTGTAATTCATTATAGACTGCAACTTTGCTTTACAGATTTTGCAATTCTGATCTCTTATCCCCCCTGTTAACAGTAAAGGGGTTGTCATTCTGGTAAGTAAAAGATTCAGGTGAGGATGGGATCCTTAAGAACTGGCTTTGTCTCTTTTTGCTTTCTGTGCTGTTGATGTATTTGGTGCAACTTGTGACTGGAGCCTGTGGGAAGGACTAGGTTTCTGTAAGGTGTGGAGGGAGAGCGCTGGAGATCCCAAGCTAAAATCTCTTCGCAAATTGTTGCTCAAAGCTAGTCCTAGGCGAGCCCATTGAGGTCTTTATACGTGGCGATGGTTTCAAGTTTGGGGGCATGGGGAGAGCAAATGGAGCCTGGGAGAGTGTTCCTTTCCTATCACAGGTATGCGGACATTTGCAACGGCAGGTGGAGTCTTATCTCCAGACTGTATAGCCCCTTACACATTCTCCACTTCGGGAGAAAGTTTCAGGAGTAACTGGCCTCTGAAACCCTTCAGGGCTCCTTTGCAGGGCCTTTGCCTCAAGCGGGGGTGGGGGCAGGGTGGGGAGGGGGTGGATGCCTCTCCTAGAGCTACTGCCTGCGGGGCCGAAAGCTGCGACCTTGGGGTTAGAGGAGCATGATTGGCTGAGAGGCAGAGCCGAGATGCGGAGCCCAGAAACCAGCCTGATTCAGGAAGGCGCGAGGAAGGCTCCGTGCTGCTCTATCTATAGATGACGCTGTTTCCTGACGCCGTACCCGCTGGACGCCGCTAGAGGTGTTCAGGGCAGGAGCCTGAGCAATGTTTGGCTCCCTCACCCCAGGGCAGAAAGGCCTTTCTCCGCCGGCGGCGGGAACCTTTGGACTAAATTGTGTCAAAAGATAATGAGATGCTTATTGGCGCCGGGAAGAAATTTCCTCCTTCACCCTCACCGCCCGCAGCTATTGTTCTCTTTCTTTCTTTCTTTTTTTTAAATGGGAAATATGGTCAGATCGAGGCTCTAGAGAACTCCGGGGAAGTGCGAACGTGGGGAGGCGTCGTAGGCACCGCGACTGGGTGATGCCTTTTGCCCACGCCCCTCCTACCAACCCCTCTCTCAGCCACTAGTTTACAGGGTCAATACAACCTAAAGTGCGAAAATATTAACCCTTGAGGTTCAGGGAGCCCAGGAAGCCCAGTTTCCAAGGAGAGTTCTGGCAGAATTTAATTAAACTCACATTAAGAGATAGATTGATACAAGCCCATCATGACAACACCTCCAATGTGTTAAAATGCATTTTCTGGGGTTCAGAATTTCATGCACTTACCAGTGGTTTGGCCTGGGTCTGGTGGATTTTTATTTTTTTTAAAGAAAAATTAGTGTTGGTTTCGATGTATGGTAGCTTTCTCTCTAACGTAATTTGAATAATTCAGCAAAGCCCCACTACCAGCTGTACTTCTGCAGCCTCTTCCATTCTTTTCAGCATTATAATTTTGGTTAATTTTCAATTTTAGGTCCTACGTCTCTGCAATCTGTGTATGAATAACAGAATAATTTCCCTCTTTTGTTTCGCCTTTCCTGTTCCTGAATCTAAATAAAGATGGCTTTTTAGTATTAAAAGTGGAAGAAAATTACAGGTAATTATCTTTGACGGTAAAAACGCTGTAATCAGCGGGCTACATGAAAAATTACTCTAATTATGGCTGCATTTAAGAGAATGGAAAAAAACCTTCTTGTGGATAAAAACCTTAAATTGTCCCCAATGTCTGCTTCAAATTGGATGGCACTGCAGCTGGAGGCTTTGTTCAGAATTGATCCTGGGGAGCTACGAACCCAAAGTTTCACAGTAGGAAGGGGGAAAAAAGAAAAGAAAACATTTTTCCTAATGTAACAATGCGAATGCTAGAAAATGACAAGACTGATCGGTTTTAAACCATTCTGAAGACTGACTGAGCGTGGAAGTTGCTCAACAAAAAAAGGCACGGGTATATTGGTAAGTCGTCTTTGCTTTGTGTCTAATTATAGTGACTGTCCTTTTGCACGGCTGTATGTCGCTGTCATTACAGGGAGCACTCTGAGTGTCTCTATTGACTTCTGATAAATGGCTCAGTGGTTTCAAGGTTCATAATTTGAAGGATGCCCAGGTCTGTAGCCATTAATTCTCGCAGTATGGGGCTTCCTGCTTGTATGACGAAAGGACTTTTCATTTCCATTATTTCTAAGCTTTCCACAAGATCGGAGGATGTATTGCATCCAGGAGCGTGCTTTTCCTACCTAGCTAGCTTGCAAAGGTTTAACGTTAAATGGTCATAATTGTGCATTTGTTTTCTATTCTCTTCTCATATTGTTTCCTTTTTTTGGTTAAAAAGTGCCTGCAAAGACAGACAAATACAGCTGTATTTCTTTAGCTGAGAAAAGGGAGAGGAGAACACTCAGTTTCAGCACGAGAGGTTGTCAGGGGATAGATCATTCTGATTTCTTTTTTAAATAGAAGAAATTACAATAAAATTTAATATAGAAAGGAAGCTGGGAAAACACCCATGGTTAATGGTAAAGTACTTAAGACAAAGGCTAGTGCTTCAAACTGACACCCTTTGCAGCACTTGATGTATATATGGGGCTTCCCATGTTAGGAAATGGGAATTCTTTTAAGAATGATAGAAAATATATGAGAGGGGAGGGGGGAGAGGTGATGAGATACAGACACATAGGGAGAAATATACAGGACACTCCCAGCGTTTTGTGGCTTTTACTCCATATATGAAAGAAGACAAAAACATACAAAGTATATGTACAACTAAAATTCAACAATATATACAGAAATGTTTCTTGATATAAACGTCCCTATTAGCTTAGTGAATGCCACCAATTCACCTAGTAAAAGTATCAAAGCAATAGAACCATGATTTTGGTTGTTTCCTCTGTCTTTCCTGATTCCATCAGGGTTTG